CTGCCTTTTCTAAACCCAGATTGTATATCTGGAAGTTCTTGGTTCACAAACTGCTGAAACCTAGCTTGAACGATTTTGGAGCATACCCTCACTAGCATGTGAAATGAGCGCAATTGTATGGTAGTTTGAACATTCTTTGGCATTGCCCTTCTTTGGGACTGGAATGAAAACTGACCTTTTCCAGTCCTGTGGCCATTGTTGAGTTTTCCAAATATCTCTTCTTATCTCTCCTTGCTGTTCTCTAAAACTCTATATTGTGATGGGTATATCTTTTTTTTTTCTCCCTTGCCTGTCACTTCTCTTCTTTTCTCAGCTATGTGTAAAGCCTCCTCAGACAACCATTTTGCCTTCTTGTATTTCTTTTTCTTGGGGGTGGTTTTAGTCATCCTGTACTATGTTATGAACTTCTGTCCATAGTTCTTCAAGCACTCTCCCTAGCAGATCTAATCCCTTGAATCTGTTTGTCACCTGGCCTTGTGATTTCCCCTACTTTCTTCAAATTAAACCTGAATTTTGCAGAAGGAAGCTGATGATCTGAGCCATAGTCAGCTCCAGGTCTTGTTTTTGCTGACTGTACAGAGCTTTTTCATCTTCAGCTTCAAAGAGCACAATCAATCTGATTTTGGTATTGATCATCTATTGATGTCCATGTGTAGAGTCGTCTCGGGTTGCTGGAAAAGTGTGTTTGCTCTGGTCAGCATGTTCTCTTGATAAAACTGTTTTCTCTAGCCCTGCTATATTTTGTATTCTAAGGCCAAACTTGCCTGTTATGCTGGTATCTCTCAACTTCCTATTTTTTGCATTCCAACCTCCTATGATAAAAAGAACATCTTTTTTTAGTATTAGTTCTAGAAGGTCTTCTAGATCTTCATAGAACTGGTCAACTTCAGCTTCTTGGGCCTCAGTGGTTGGGGCATAGACTTGGGTTGCTGTGATGTTGCATGGTTTGCTTTGAAAATGAACTGGGATCTTCCTGTTGTTCTTTGAGGTCAGACTTTTCTGTTGATTATGAGGGCTACTCCGTTTCTTCTAAGGGATTTTTGCCCACAGTAGTAAATATAATGGTCATCTGAATTAAATTCACCCACTCCCATCCATTTTAGTTCACTGATTCCTAAGATGTTGACATCCAATCTTACCATCTCCTGCTTGGCCATGTCCAATTTACTTTGAATCATGGACCTAACATTCCAGATTCCTATGCAGTACTGTTCTTTACAGCATTGGACTTTACAGTCACCACCAGACACATCCACAACTGAGCATCATTTCCGCTTTGGCTCAGCTATTTCGTTCTTTCTGGAGCTCTAAGTGATTGCCCTCCGCTCTTCCCCAGGTGCATATTGGACATCTTCTGACTGCAGACTCATCTTCCAGTTTCACGTCCTTTTGCCTTTTCACACTGCTCATGGGGTTCTTGTGACAAGGATACTGGAGTGGTTTGCCATTCCCTCCTCTAGTGGACCACGTTTTGTCAGAACTGTTCACTGTGACCTGTCTTGGGTGACCCTGCACGGCATGGCTCATAGGTTCACTGAGTTATGCAAGCCCCTTTGCCACAACAAGACTGTGATCCATGAAGGGGACCACTCCCATTTACTCACCTCCAAATCCCACACGGGTCTCTGCTTGATGGAGGTAGGTGTCATGCAAACTGTGAGCTCTATGAGATACTAGGAAATGACGTTTTGTAGGAAGCAGGACTAGATTGGGGACTGTCATGAGAGCTGAAGAAGACAGCTTAGTTTCTGCCACAAGTACTGTTACTGCTCTTGGCAGTGGGGATGGAGCCATGAGCAAGAGAAACCAAGTGTTTTATTTCTGCCTTGTGGAGCAGAAAGTATAGTAGGAAAGTAGATAACAAACAATTACATGAATAAAATTTACTTGTTTGACTAAATAATAAATGAATAAAATTACTTGAGGAAAAAATAGCATAGACTAAGAACCTGGATATTGGAGTGTTACTTTTGATAGAAGGTTCAGGGAAAACCCTGGTGAGGAAATAAAACTTGAGCAAAGACTTGACTGATAAGAAGCAGGAAGCTGTAAGAAAGTCTGGGGCAAGAGCATCCCGGGTTAAAAGAAGCAAGTTCAAAGGCTGTGACATTTGGCCTGGTACAGCAACAGCAAAGCCATCGTGGGCCATGAAAGCACCATAGGAGATGAGGTCAGACAGGTAGGCAGGAACTAGCACACAGGGCCTGGGTCATCATACCAGGTACATGGGAGGCTGTAAGCAGGACAGTGACCAGATGTGACTTACATTTCATAAAGATGCCTCTGACTGCTCTGCAGAGAGGAGACCATGGCAGGGCACAGGGACAAGCAAGGAGACTGATTCAGACCCTGGAGCAGTTGTCCAAGGAAGGGACAATGGTGGCTTGAACTGTAATAGTGACAAAACAGGTGGGAAAAGTGGTCCAGTCCTGGGTGTATTTTGCAGTTGAACCTAATAGAAATTGGATGCTGGAACTGGGGAATTCAAGAATGATACCTAGAGTTTTGGAATGTGCCATAGGTGGATGGTGGGGCCACTAATAATGATGGGTAAAATCTGAGAAAGAATGAGACTTGGGGTGAAGGAGAGAGGAAGTCAGGAACGGACATCCAGGTGGAGATACAGAGTTGCCACAGGGATAGTAGCTCAGGGAAGGGGCAGAGGCCGATGCTGTAAGCTGGGGAGACATTGGGACATGGTTATATTGAGTTGGCCAAAAAGTTCATTCAGGTTTTTCCATTGCATGTTATGGAAAAACCTGAATGAACTTTCTGGTCAACCTAATATTTAAAAACAAGGGAGTGGATGAGATTACACAGGGAGAGACTATAGATAATAAAAAGATGAGGATCCAGGACTGGAGCCTTGGAGCACTTGAATAGATTGAGGTGAAGATAAAGAAGCATTTGGAAAGAAGATAAAGAAACACTCATTAACTAGTTAAAGAGAAATAAAACCCAGAAAAGTGTGATAGCCTGATTACCACGTGAATAAAATGTTTCCTGAAACAGGCAGTGAATACCCATGTTGATGACTTCCTTAAATCAGAGGTCTAGTAAGTTAGTGGTCAGTGCTTTTCGTTCACTGGGGTCACTGGTGACCTTGGCAAGATCCATTTTAGTCTAGTACTGTTGTGGCTTGCAGGATGGGTGTGATCCAGGTGAGAGAGAGAGAAATTAATGCAAAGAAGGGTTAATTTTAGGAGCAAAATAAGTGAAAGGAGAACAGGGAGGAGACAGAAGGCTGGACTTGGGCAAGAGCCAGACAGTGACAGCAGGAAGGGTGGGATGTGAGGGGGGTTTAGGGGTGGCTATAGGCTGCTTGCTTCCCTGGTGGCTCAGAGGTTGAAGCGTCTGCCTGCAATTGGGAGACCTGTGTTCAATCCCTGGGTTGGGAAGATCCCCTGGAGAAGGAAATAGCAACCCACTCCAGTATTCTTGCCTGGAGAATCCCATGGATGGAGGAATCTGGTGGGCTACAATCCACAGGGTTGCGAAGAGTTGAACACGACTGAGCGACTTCACTTTCACTTTCATAGGCTGCTTACACCTAGAAGAAGGGTGTGCAGCCATCAGCTCAGATCAAAGGCAGGGAGAAGAAACTGGGTAGATGTTTGAAACAAAAGGAAAATGGTGTGAGGGTCCATTTCTCAGAGTGGAAAAGTGGTTTTTGAGAAAATCTCATGGGATTTCTGATTCATAGTAAAACCTGTGGTCATTCGTTTAAAGGAAGACCAGTGGTATCATTACATGATTTTGCTCAAAGCATCCTTTAAAAGCAATGCTCCCATCTTATTTTGTAACTAAAGTAATAGAGAAAGTTCTGGTGATGAGAATTACACACCAGGGAAGAGGGAAGACTAGAGCATTAGCAGGTGTTGGCAGAATTCTCAGGAGCCCGGACCTGGTGATTCCCCTGAAGTCACATGTCACATCTGTGGGTGATTTATTCCTGGCACTTTGCAGTGGGCATCCTGGCACTGGATTCATCTTCCCCAGAAACCCCTGAAACCCTGGTGGCTTCCTTTTGGGACAACCCACACCATCTCTTCATCCATCTCCCAAACATTCATCTACTACCTTCCCATTAAGTACCTAAGACACTCCTGAGGAGCAAGATGAGCAAGTTCTAGCTGAATCAAGGTCCACTTGCCCATCACTTAATAGTGAAAGGCAACACGCATACAGTACTTATTATGGGCTAGTTCTACTCAAAGGTAATTTGTACATTTGAACTCTTCTAATCATCCCAACTACTCATAGGGTAGATGCTGTCTTTGCCATGTTTGGCAGATGAGGCGATTGAAGCCAAAATGCTGAATCACATGCCCTGAAAGGCTGGAATCTGGACCTGGACAATCTGACGCCAGAATCTGGGGTCTGTTGTCTCTTGTGGTTCTAATTCAGGGTTCTGTCTCTCTTACCTTGAGGAAGAGGCATTCAGACCAGTTTTGGCAGGAATTTTAAAATTTGGCATGATTTACCTTTGAGTTTTTAATATAAATGTCCCAGTGACTGAAAAAAGAGAATAATAATATATACAATTCTTTACAAGTTATATCATCTGTCCAGCAATTCCAGGATTCATCTTGGACAGGTTTTGCTACGTTTGCTCCATTTCCTCTTCACCGTGATTGTACTGACTATTGTTGAGATTATCCTGAGCCCAGTTTTGGGGGTCACTGCATTTTGTATCAGTTGTTTGTCAGCTGTGCATTTTCTGCTAAGTTAACACTGCCGTTCCTCTCTTTCCCCACAGGTTATCATTGCCCTCTCAGAAAAGCACCGCTCGCACATTCCGTATCGAAACTCTATGATGACCAGCGTCCTGAGAGATAGCCTGGGAGGGAACTGCATGACGACCATGATTGCCACACTCTCTTTAGAGAAAAGGAATATCGACGTACGTTGTTTCTTCTGTCCGGAGATCTTAGTCTGAGTTTTTGTGCTAGTCTGTGAGATGGAGTTCAGGGTCCCGGGTGGGTCTCCGTCTTTTCAGCTGGGCTGGGGTGTGCCTTCAGAGGTAAAGATGCCCCCAGAATTCAGAGCCTTGGGTTATGTGCCAGCGCTGAAATTCCCCCTTTTGAGAACTGAGTTCACATAGCAAGGGATGGTTTGCAGAAAACTTCGTACACACGTTTTGGAAGACCTGCTGATGGGTTGTTTACCTTGGCCGGAGACCTGAAAGAGGAGACCCATCAGCTTCTCCTGACCCTTCTCCACTTCTGGTTGCTTAGATGCCTTGGAGACATCACCATGGTGTGAGCCTAGACGTGTCCCTGAGCCCAACACCAGGACGCCTTGGTAGAGGCTGGTTGCCAAATGCCCCAGGTGGCTTTAGAGCCAGCTGATGTTTCACAGCATTTCAGTTTAATGGATGGGATTCAGACTTTCTCTAAGAGAGGAAAATTGGAAGCACTGAGGTATCTCCCGAAACAGGGCCCAGCCCCAAGTGCATTGTGAGATACCTTGGAAAGCCTCTCTTTGGGGCCTGTTACAAATATTTATTTTGTACTCTTTGATGCTTATGGATGGTGGTACCTTCTATGATTCTGCTTTGTATAGTGTGGTTCTGGTTGACAGAAAAGTAGAAAATCACACACCAATTGTCACCTAGAACCTCAGCTCTTCCACACTTTGGGCATTGGTCATTTTATTAAACTCAAACAAAACTTTAATGAAAAATAAATTTCCAGGGCAAAGCTTCCTAATTGGGAAGGCTGTTTCCTCATTGTGTTTTATGAACATCATTATATGCATTTTTCCTGTGAGCAGAACTTTTTTTCTCTCTATGTGCAATAACACTATAAGGACATAATCTTGCTTTCTTAGGAGTCTATATCTACCTGCAGATTTGCACAGCGAGTGGCACTCATAAAGAATGAAGCTGTTCTTAATGAAGAAATCGATCCCAAATTGGTAAGCAACTTTTAACTTTTAACTATGTAAAAAAAAAAAAATCCAAGTATATAAAAGCTTAGCTAAAGCCTGGGGTGCACTCACTTCCCATAACCAGGCAATGTTCTAAATACCGGAAACGTGTAAAATCATTTAATTCTCACGACAGCCTCATGAGTAGATGCCATCTCTTGCTCTACCTTGAGCTGCCCTGGTATCTCAGTTGGTAAAGAATCCACCTGCAATGCAGAAGACCCCGGTTTGATTCCTGGGTCGGGAAGATCTGCTGGAGAAAGGGATAGGCTACCCACCCCAGTATTCTTGGGCTCCCCTGGTGGCTCAGCTGGTAAAGAATTCACCCCCAGTGTGAGAGACCTTGGTTTGATTCCTGTTTTGGGAAGATCCCCTGGAGAAGGGAAAGGCTCCCACGCTAGTATCCTGGCCTGGAGAATTCCATGGACTATACAGTCCATGGGGTTGCAAAGAGCTGGACATGACTGAGCGACTTTCACTTTCACTTTCCTCTACCTTATAGGTGACAAAAGGAAAGCATGAGAATATTTAGTGATTTGATCTGAGTTGCATTACTAATAGGTCACAGAACAGGACTCAGACACAGGCAGTCTGACCCCAGGGCCTGTGCTCTTATCTATAGCCCCCTGTCAGATACAGAGAGTCCTGAGGACAGACATGAAATCATACACAATTATATTTCTAGAAAGGTCCTAGCCTTTCAGTGGTTGTTAAATAGAATAGTACTCTGCATAACTGTTCTTTTACTTATTGTAGAGATTTAAAAAAGTTAGCAGTTGGTTGTATCCATGGAAAAATAGTCAAGCCTCTATGTTTATAAAAGTTCATTCTTCTTTATCAAAGTGCTTTATTTAAGGAAAGATATTTTGCTCTTCACATCAGGTGGCCAAAGTATTGGAGTTTCAGCTTCAGCATCAGTCCTTCCAATGAACACCCAGGACTGATCTGCTTTAGGATGGACTAGGTTGGATCTCCTTGCAGTCCAAGGGACTCTCAAGGGTCTTCTCCAACACCAGAGTTCAAAAGCTCAGTTCTTCAGTGCTCAGCCTTCTTTATGGAAAGATGGGCACAGAAGACAGAAATGGTGTGGACCTAACAGAAGCAGAAGATATTAAGAAGAGGTGGCAATAATACACAGAAGAACTGAACAAAAAAGATCTTAATGACTCAGATAAACACGATGGTATAATCATTCACCTAGAGTCAGACATCTTGGAGTGTGAAGTCAAGTGGGCCTTAGCAAGCATCACTACAAACAAAGCTAGTGGAGGTGATGGAATTCCAGTTGAGCTATTTCAAATCCTAAAAGATGATGCTGTTAAAGTGCTGCACTCAATATGCCAACAAATTTGGAAAATTCAGCAGTGGCCACAGGACTGGAAAAGCTCAGTTTTCATTCCAATCCCAATGAAGCGCAGTGCCAAAGAATGTTCAAACTATGGCAAATTTCGCTCTTTTCACATGCTAGCAAAGTGATGCTCAGAATCCTCCAAGCTAGGCTTCAACAGTATGTGAACCAAGAACACTCAGATGTTCAAGTTGGATTTAGAAAAGGTAGAGGAACCAGAGATCAAATTGCCAACATCCACTGAATCATAGAAAAAATAAGATAATTCCAGAAAAACAGCTTCTGCTTCATTGACTATACTAAAGCCTTTGACTGGAAAGCTCAAACTGAAAAATTCTTAAAGAGAATTTAAGAATTAAATTCTCTTACCACCTTACCTGCCTCCTGAGAAACCTGTATGCAGGTCAAGAAGCAACAGTTAGAACCAGACATGGAACAATGGACTGGTTCCAAATTGGAAAAGAAGTACATTAAGGCTGTATATTGTCACCCTGCTTATTTAACTTATATGCAGAGTACATCATGCAAAATGCAGGGCTAAATGTATCACAAGCTGGAATCAAGATTGCCGGGAGAAATATCAATAACCTCAGATATGCAGATGATACCACCCTTAAGGCAGAAAGTGAAGAGAAACTGAAGAACCTCTTGATGAAAGTGAAAGAGGAGAGTGAAAAAGCTGGCTTAAAACTCAACATTCAGAAAGCGAAGATCATGGTATCCAGTCCCATGACTTCATGGCAAATAGATGGGGAAACAATGGAAACAGTGACAGACTTTATATTCTTGGGCTCCAAAATCATTGCAGATGGTGACTGCAGCCATGAAATTAAAAGATGCTTGGTCCTTGGAAGAAAAGCTATGACAAACCTCAGTTCAGATCAGTTCAGTTGTTCAGTCATGTCCAACTCCTTTCAACCCCATGGACTGCAGCACACCAGGCCTCCCTGTCCATCACCAATTCCCGGAGTTTACTCAAACTCATGTCGATTGAGTCATGATGCCATCCAACCATCTCATCCTCTGTCATCCCCTTCTTCTCCTGCCATCAATCTTTCCCAGTGTCAGGATCTTTTCTAATGAGTGGGCTCTTTGCATCAGGTGGTCAAATTATTTGAGTTTTAGCTTCAGCATCAATCCTTCCAGTGAATATTCAGGACTGATTTCCTTTAGCATGGACTGGTTGGATCTGTTTGCAGTCCAAGGGACTCTCAAGAGTCTTCTCCAATACCACAGTTCAAAAGCCTAGACAAGCCTAGACAGCGTCTTAAAAAGCAGAGACATTACTTTGCCGACAAAGGTCCATATTTTCAAAGCTATTATTTTTCCAGTAGTCACTATGGATGTGAGAGTTGGACCAACATACAGAAGCCTGAGCACAAAAGTTTGGTAGTAGAAGGCAGTGGCACCCCACTCCAGTACCCTTGCCTGGAAAATCCCATGGATGGAGGAGCCTGGTGGGCTGCAGTCCATGGGGTCGCGAAGAGTAGGACACGACTGAGCGACTTCACTTTCACTTTTCACTTTCATGCACTGGAGAAGGAAATGGCAACCCACTCCAGTATTCTTGCCTGGAGAATCCCAGGGATGGGGGAGCCTGGTGGGCTGCCGTCTATGGGGTCGCAGAGTCGGACACAACTAAAGCGACTTAGCAGCATACATTATTTTTTTAAAAAAAATCTGAAATCTTTCCCGTGGAGCTTTATTTACAAATTTCCCAAATTCCAAATGTGAAAATCTCGAGTTCACCCATTACCCATCTTATTACTTCCTCTTGAGTGTTTGCCCTTCCTTCCCTGAAATCATTCCATCAAAGCATAGAGGGAAAGGAGGAGAGAAGAATAGTAGGACTGACCATTTTGTCCTTCTTGCCTCCGGGAGCCTGAACTCGCCTGATGGAATTCTCTTCTGGAGAAACCAGTGAGTGAGGAACATCCCTTTTTCCAGGCCATCCCCTGCTCACATACCAGCGTCACAGGGCACTGCCCCACCCTCCTGAAAAAAATGAGACGCGATGCAAAGGCCTAAGACAAGTGGAACTGAATTCCTAGGATGAATCCCTCTGCTGTTCCCACCCTGCCAGCCACCCTGTAACATTACTGTGCAGAATGAGAAAGACAGGAGTGGGCTTATTAGCCTGAAGACAAAAATTGCTTCATAACTAAAGAAAAATAAACACATTAGACATTGGAGGTTTTTCCCTTCAAATTTGGCTGCAGAGACTTTTCTTTGAAGGAACTTGAGGAATTTGAAGAAAGATGAACATTATCATGTGTTTGATGTAGGTCTGTGAGAGATTTAATGAAACGAGAAATCAGGAGTCAAAAGCTAATAGCTGATAATTGAACAAATGTTGAGGTCTTCCTGGTGCAGAATAATCTGGTAATTGACAAGTGTTGTTTCCTGATCTTCTTTATAATTGCTTCTAAAAACTGACACTACTGTTCATTATTTGAAGTACAGAGCTTTTCTGAAACACATGTGATAATTGAAAAGTTGTCCTCAAAACCACCCAGAACACAACTGGATGGGGAAAATAAACACCAGCTTTGGGGTAATGGTAGTGGGAAATTCATTTAGGGAAAGGTCTACAGGGCTAAGGGCTTCCTAAGAGTCTGCAGTGTTTTATCTCATAAGCTAAGTAGTCAGTACCTGAATGTTCACTTAAGCTTCGAAGTAGGTACAAGGTATTATTTATACCTCTTTGTTTATCTGAAGTAGTTCCTACTAAAATGTAAAATCACATGAATTAAGGTGACTCATTACATTCACAGTTTAAAAGAAAAAAATTATATCATCACATCATTAGATATAGAAAAAAGCATTTGATAACATTAAACATTCATCCATAGTTTGAAAAGGCTCATCAAACTATGAATATATGCTAACATCCTTAGAGCAATTAAGGGTATCAGCCAAAAACTACAGCAAACATTTTAAAGGTGAAATGTTAGAAGGAATATGACAAGAATGTCCTAAGCACTATACTTGGAGTTTCTAGCTGGGAAAGAGACAATTTTTTTTTTTCTTTTTACTTTCAGTTCACTTCGGTCGCTCAGTCATGTCCAACTCTTTGCGATCCCATGAACCGCAGCACGCCAGGCCTCCCTGTCCATCACCGACTCCCAGAGTCCACCCAAACTCATGTCCATTGAGTTGGTGATGCCATCCAACCATCTGATCCTCTGTCGTCCCCTTCTCCTCCTGCCCTCAATCTTTCCCAGCATCAGGGTCTTTACAAATGAGTCAGCTCTTTGCATCAGGTGGCCAAAGTATTGGAGTTTCAGCTTCAGCATCAGTCCTTCTAATGAACACCCAGGACTGATTTCCTTTAGGATGGGCTGGTTGGATCTCCTTGCAGTCCAAGGGACTCTCAAGAGGTCTTCTCCAACACCACAGTTCAAAAGCATCAATTCTTCAGCACTCAGCTTTCTTTATAGTCCAACTCTCACATCCATACATGACCACTGGAAACATATACAATTTTTATTTGTCAATCATACCTCAGTAAAGCTAGTAGGAGGGAAGTAATAACATTCAATTATACTTAGCAATAACAGCTACCATTCACTGAGGCTTCTGCCAGGCACTCACTGTACCAGGCCTTGTATCTACACACATGCATGTATAAAATCTCATTGAGTGATCACTCTCAGCTTCTGAGGTATCACTTTCCTCATTCCACAGCAGGTAGGAGTGGGAAGTGGCAGAGAATGAGCTTCAGATAGGTTAAGTCATCTGCCCAAAGCCATATAGATATACACATAGTGAAAGCAGAATGTGGACCCCGGTCCATGAGTACTCAGAGCCCTGCTGTGGGCACCACGCTAAACTGCCCCGATGCAGTACATGCAGTGTGACTTCCTCTCACACCTTGCACAAGGGCCAGCGGCCCTGTGACAACTAGTTCAGCCTTGGAAGGCAGAATTCCTTTCTTCCTCTTGGTATTGTGATGTCGGTTACTAGAAAAGTTACCAGATTGTAATGGTTAATTAAACTCTGTCATCGGGCATTGCTAAGAAACAGCCAAGTTCTCCCAAAAACTGTCCCAAAAATCACATGTTGGAGATGGTGAAATAGAAGGAGGTTGGGGACTTGTTCCTACTTCTGAAACACGAGAAAGGGCTGTTGAGGCAGATGAAATAAGATCCAGTCCATCAAACTATATACGTTTGCTTCCCATCGGAATCTGAGCTTTATGAAAGAAGAGATGGTTTTACTCCTTGCTGTCTCCCCAGAGTCTAGAACCATGTCTCCCACAAAGTAGGTGCTCAAGGAAAACCACCATTGAATGAGTGAATTGGCTCATATTAAACCCAGATAATGGCAGTGCAGGCATGATGGGAGGGATCCTGAACAACCCAAAATCATTAATAAAAGTTTTCCAAATATGGCACAAAAAATTGTTTAGTGTAAATTTAAGTGGTAAAAATTATATCCGCTTTTTAGGAACAGATTTAGCCTTTCTTCTTATATATCCCTTATCCAAAATCATAAAAAGTTGTTTCATATAAAATACATTGATGAGGGGAGAAGAAAAAAATATGGATATGGGATTAAGAGATACAGACTACTATGCATACAATAGGTAAGCAACAAGGAAATATCGGATAGCACAGGGGGTCATAGCCATTATCTTATAATAATTTTTTTTTTTCCTGAAAAGCTGTTTATTGGGATTATCAATCAAGGAGAGACTCCACAGACCCTGATCTTCAGTGGTAAAGAAATATAATCTGTAAAAATACTGAATCACTATGCTGAATACCTGCAAAGAATATTGGTCATTACTGGTAGACTATTTGATTGCTCATCTAGAACATCCAGTAGTGGGGCCTTCCTGGTGGCCCAGTGGTTAAGAATCTGCCTACCAGTGAAGGAGACACAGGTTCAACCCCTGGTTTTGTGGAAGGAAGAGTCTACATGCTGAGGGGCGGTTAAGCCTATGCGCCATAGCTACTCCGTCCATGTGCCCCGGAGCCTGTGTTCTGCAGTTAGAAGCCACAAGGAAAGGAGAGGAGGCTACTCTCTACTTGCGTACCCCAAGAAGAGAGTAGCCACCACTTGCCACAACTAGAGAAGAGCCCATATGCAGCAATAAAGACCCAGTGAAGCCCAGAAAAAAAAGAACATCCAAGTATTCAATAACAAAAAAATGATAACCAAAATAGTGTTCAGAAAAGTAGTTGTTAAATAATCCATAAAAATAAATTGCCTTCCAATGCATCAAAAGCCAGTAATTAGAAAAAAAAATTTTATAAAAAAAAAATCTTTTTATAAATTTTATAAAATTAAAAAAATTTTATAAAAATTTCACTTATAGTAGCAACAAAAACTTTAAAATTCTAGGAACAAAATCTAATTAAAGATATATAAGGTATTTGTAGAGAAAACTATGAATCTATATTGAAAGGAATCAATGGAAAGCCATACCATGTTTGTGGATGTAATGATTTCATTATGTTGTGTTGTTTAGTCCCTAAGTTGTGTCCAACTCTTGCGACCCCACTGACTGTAGCCCACCAGGCTCCTCTGTCCATGGGATCTTCCGGGCAAGAATCCTGGAGTGAGTTGTCATTTCCTTCTCCAGGAGATCTTCCCAATCCAGGGATTAAACCTGCATCTCCTGCATCAACAGGCAGATTCTTTACCACTAAGCCACCTGGGAAGTCCAGTGATTCATTAGTATTACTTTAATCTCTTATCAAATTAACCTTTTACTCAAATTCATTTACAGTTGAAATTTGAGAAGAGCCTTTGATAGAATTTTACAAGCCAAGTCTAAAATTTATATGAAAGAGCATATGATCAGGAATAGCCAAGTCTATTTCAGAAGAGAACAAGATGGAAAGGACTTGTTCTATCTAGATGCCAAAATTTCTTAAGATACAGTAATTAAAACAGTGTGGTGTTACCATGCATATAGTCAAGTAGGCAAATGTTTTTAACCAGTAGCCCAGAAAAAGACACGTCTTATATGTGGAAAAACATAACAGAATTTTAATAGCAAATCTTGCATGGTTGGCCATAAAAAAAATTAAAATTAGATCCATATCTTATACTTCCTACAAAGTACAATCAACCTAAATGTAAAAAGCAAAACTTTAATACCTTTATAAGAACTTATAGAGAAATGCAGGCTTCCCAGGTGGCACAGTGGTAAAGAATCCACCTGCAATGCAGGAGACACAAAAGACTCGGGTTTGATTCCTGGGTCGGGAAGATTCCCTGGAGGAGGAAATGGTAACCCCCTCAAGTGTTATTGCCTGGAAAATTCCACGGGCAGAGGAGCCTGGAGGGCTACAGTGCACAGAGTTACTGAGTCAGACATGTACTGAGCATGCACATACACTATAGGAAAATATTGCTATGGCTTTAAGTAAAATGATGCTCTCAGAGGAAACACAGAAATGCAACTCATGACAAAATAATTTGATAATGAAATTGCATTGAAATTTAAAACTTTTGTTTCACAGAAAGAACACCACAAAGTGGAAAACATGACATAGATTGGGAGAAAATATGGGCATTGCATAAAACTTACAAAGGGTTCACATCCTGAATTTGTAAAGAAGCCTGAAAATCCGTAAGGAAGAGAAAAATAATTCAACTGAAACATGGGCAAGATGGTGAATAAGAAATTCACAGAAGAGGAAACTCAAACAGTCAGCATACATTTACAAAGATGATCATCAACCTCACCAATAATCATGAAAACACAGATTAGAACTAGAAAACAGACCATTTTACACCTACCAAATTGGCAAAATTAGTCTCTGGCAATACTGCATACATAGTGACAAAAATGTGGGGAAGCAGGAACTTACATATACAGTTGATGAGAATATAAATTTATACAACTATTTGGAAGAGCAGTTTAGCAATATATAGTAAAGGGAAGCTGCACTTACTCTGCAGGTACGCTACAGAGAAAGTTGGATGTGCCTAGAGATTTATAGTGTTCACCACAACACTGTTTGTAATAGCAAAGGCAAAATTCCAATGTCCATGAGACATAAATACATCAATTGTGATGTAGTCCTTTATTGAAATACTATATATCCATGAAAATTCATGAACTAGAACCACATGAAACAATATAAATAATCTCCAAACGTAGTGTGAGGAAAAAAAAACAAGTTGCAGTTACATGCAGTGTAATAGCATTTACGTTAAGTGTAAGGCATGCAAAATAACATATATCATTTATAGTCACACCTATACCCATGGAGTAAATGTTTAAAACATGCAGGGAAATGCTACCCACTAAATGCAGGATTGCAGTCACCCCAGGAAGGACAGAAGGAAACAGGAGTAAGGGCCTCCAGGTTCCATCAGGAATGTTTTATTTGTTAAGAAAAACTCTAGAACTATTTTGACAAAATGATAAGATTTAACAAAGCAAGGTGGTAAGTACAAGAGTGCCTTTGGTATCCTTCTCTGTACATTTTTGTTCCTAATTTTAAAAGATGTGTGTTCTCTGTCACATAGTCCCCTCGATGAGGAGCTGACACTTATGCTCCTACCTTGCCATTTCAGATGATTATACGCCTACAAAAGGAAATCCAGGAGCTGAAGGATGAGCTGGCCATTGTCACTGGGGAGCAGAGGACAGAGGCGCTCACAGAAGCAGAGCTCCTTCAGTAAGCCTGCAGACATTTTCTTTAACAGTGCGAGTTTGTGTGAACTTCTGTGTTGGCCCTGATGTTATGAATTCACCTCAAAGCGCGAAGGTCTCCTGAGACAGTCTGAAATTGTATGTAGGCGCCAGCTAAGAGTGGCAGCTTTCCATGAAAAGCTGGATAAGGCTGGCAGTGTTTTTGCCGCCTCAGCTTTGAGGAAGCAAAGAACAGAACATGGAGTGGATGGGAGTATCCTTCTCATGCCAGCTGAAGAGAAAGGATTGTATAATAGTCATGCAACTTTTAAACGTATCTGCCACACACTCTACAAGCTGTGGATCTCAGATCTGAAAGGAATTCCAGAAACGTCCTTTGTATTAAACAGCATCTTGCTGCAAGCACCAATTTATCCCATGCCAAAGTAAGCTCTCTCCTTTAATAAATAGATGGCCCATATATTACAGTTCAAACACTCGAAATGGGAATGAAAGCAGGTATTCAGGACTTCACACAAGTGCGGCATCTCTCAGGGCCTTTAGACTTGCAGCCATATGGCATGCCAAGGGCACAGCGTGGCTCGAGTTCTCGCTCTGATCACGAGCCACCACGGTGGGCTCTCTTGTTTCTGTGCTGTTTATTAAGCATTTGTGAAGTGGTAACAATGGACTGGGCTTAGAAGGCAGTGGTACTCTCTGTTTCAGAGTAACAAGCGACGCAAGCTTTTCGTGAAGGTTTGCTGTCATTTCACATGACCCTTTCTCAACAGAGAAAATGGTAACCAACAGAGGCTGGAAGCATTTTCTTTAAACAGCTTCATAGCTGCCCCTGGATGCAGGGCTAAAGTTTGAGAAGCCTTAAGCAAGGTTTCTGTTATACGCCAAGCCTTCCTCCTCTGGGACAGCAGTTCCTCATTTTAGAACGCTGTGTTTAATAACGTGATAGGCCCCTAAGGCTTTCCGTACAAAACTGCTTCATGACATATATGAGATTAAGGTGAAATATACTGCCAGAATTCACGTTTTAAAGAATTTCATGTCACTCCTTGAAATAACCTGGGATAGCTTAGATACTGAGAAACCCAAGTTTCAAATTCCTTCATTATGGTGCTCCCAGCCCCACAAAGAAAGGGCCTGTTGTTTCGTTGCTAAGTCATGTCCTACTCTTTGCGACCCCATGGACTGTAGCCCACCAGTATCCTCTGTCCATGGGATTCTCCAGGCAAGAACACTGGAGTGGGTTGCCATGCCCTTCCTCCAGGGACCTTCCTGACCCAGGGCTTGAACCTGCGTCTCCTGCTTGGCAGGTGGATGCTTTACCACTGGGCCACCTGGGAAGCCATAAAGAAAGGGCTTACCCAGTATTAGTTTTGAAGGTGCCTCCTCAGAGTTTTGATCTGCAAATCAGGATCCAGTCAGGAAAACAAAAGCATTCTAGGCCTCTCAACAGCAGGAATTAAATATAGGAAATTTGTCATACAGGAGATGGTATTATGGGGTGCTGCAACAGCCCAGAGATCAGAGCAGGAGGTCCTTCACCCTGGAACTGGAGGGACATCAGGAGAAGGTTGCGTTACGGAAGCCAGAGCCTGGTGCCGGCCAGCAGAAGCTGCACTAGCCGAGTGTTGCCTGTTGGGACGGAAGCTGGGGCCTCGGAAGAGCTCTGGGCGCTAGGAGGCACCATCCCACAGGGAGCGCGGGCTTCTCCCTCATCTCCCCTCCCAGTCTCCACCAGTGCCTCCCACTGGCTGGACTTACCCAGAGCCAGTAGTTAAAAGAGCCAAGCAGTGTAGTTTCCTGTGATGCAGTCAAACAAAGGAAAAGTGGAAATTGGATCTAAGAGCAAACAGGGAAATGACCCACGTGTCAAATGAGGAACAGTGTTTTCTCTAGTTCCTGTGTGCCCCGTGTTGCTCAGAAGGCTCAGGTTAAGGGTAAGATTCTGAGTGTGGCGGTTCAAGATGTCAGAATGAGTAAGCTTATGCCGCAGGTCCCCTCCACATTGGGTGGATGCTAGAACTGATATAAGAAACATCTGAATCTCAGTCTATACCCAAGAATAAGAAGTAGGTTTCACAGGGGTCTAGACAGGAGGAAGGGATCAGCCAAGTTACGGGGCAGCAGCACCACGGCCCCGTGTCTGAGGTGGTGGCACGCTGGAGCAGGGGACGGCTGGGGACGGCCCGAAGGGTCGGCAGAGCTCTCGGAGTGAGGACTTCGTTCCTGTGAAGCGCCCGTGTCCTCCTTCTTCCCTTCATCCCCTGGTTTTAGGTCAGTATTCCCAGGAAATAGGGAAGTGCCCCAGGTAACTGATGATGCCCAGGACAAAGAGGAACTGTATAAGCTCTGGAGACAGCGGCTGTCTCCAGTCCTGCCCATTTCCTCACTGGAGGCAGCAAGGAGCACAGGTACCCACAGCTGCTTCAGTCCCTTACCCAAGACTGGCTGCCCAAGCTGACAGCTCGGAGTCTAGGAAATGTGAGCTCACAGTTGGGAGTGACTAGAAATATGAGGACGGCCAGCATGGAGAAAGACAAGAACAAGCTTTTACAGCGTGGAGGCCTTAAGAGCTAAGCCAGAGGAGTGGTTGCTCTCTCTAGAGATATAAAACACGGCATTCCATCCACGAAACAACAGCAGGATCAAGAGATCTTGAAAATGGAAAAATGTACTTGTTGCCATTAAGAACTTGATGATGGCTGAATAGCAGAATGAAAGCACAGAGGGGCAAATCAGTGAGCCAGGAAGTTGGGAGCTAAGGGATTATTCCAGAATATAAGTTAAAAGGTAAAGATTTAGAAAGTTTAAACAAAAGAATCATAGAGAATAGCTCTAGATTTACCAGTATCAACAACAGTTTCCAAAGAAAAAATAGAATGCACGGGAGCCAACAGTTAAAGAAAGAAAGCCTATTTTTTTGGAACTAAAAAAAAAAAAAGAACATAAGACTTCAGAACAAAAGAGTTATCATATGCTAAATAGTACAATAATACTGTAGAAAAATGTTAGAATTTCAACATATTGAAAATAATCCTAGAAGTTGTTAGAGAAGTATTAACAACCAAGAATCTGATTTAGTGAAGACTTCTCATCAACAGCTCTGGAAATAGGAACTTCTAGTACTGAAACACAAAACAAAAGAGGGCTGTGAATGGAGATTTCTGTATCTAGCCTACCATTCAAAGGTGAAGGTGGCCATTTTTCAGGCATACAGACTTTCAGACAGGAAATTTCCTGTGGTACCTCCTCTCTTAAAGAGACCACCACAGACTATACTTTTACAAGAAGAAAAATTCTATAAAGCATAAGAAACAATAATAAGCAAAGTTTGTTATACCTTCTCTATGATATTTAATATTGTATTATATTTACATCTTTCACTAACTTGCCATTTATTACATAAACAGATGTTTCTGTTTAAAAGTTACTGACAACAAGCAAATTCTCATGATTCTCCTCTCATAGGAGTTTGGGGGCAGAATCGTGAGAGATAAAATTGTGACAACAGGTTTAAAATACTGACAAACTGTTAGATCTTGGATTGGCTTTCTTTGATCCACAGATAACAAATACACAAATGTCATTTGGAACAGTTACTACACAGACAGTATGTAGGGTTGCCATTCGTTTTTCTGGGGAGTCGATTCACTCATTCAGCATTTCTTATCCATCCAGTACTCACAAAAATCTACCGTAGGCCCTGAAAGGAACACCAGGATGAACAAAACCTGGATCCCGCTCTTGACGAGCTCACAATTTAGTGGCAGCAACACACACAAGCACAAGTATTTATGGTGCAATGTTTAAGTATTCTGTGGGGATATACGAATAAAACATGAGACTGCAGAGACAGTAGCGATGAATTTTGAGCTCAGGCACAGCGTGTGTTCAGTCGTGTCCGACTCTTTGTGACCCCGTGGATTGTAGACCACCAGACTCCTCTGTCCATGGGATTCTCCAGGCAAGAAGACTGGAGCAGGTTGCTATTTCCTACTACTAGGAGGGAATTTTCCCCACCCAGGGATCAAACCCATGTCTCTTGCGTCTCCTGCATTGGCAGGCGAATCTTCTACCACAGCGCCACCTGGGAATCATGTAAAATTAGTTCATAAATAAGTAAACGTCAGCAATTCGCAATGAAGTCGCTTCTCTGGTGTCAAGATAAGTATACTATATATAGCATTGCGTCTCTTGAATGATTTCTGATCAGCAGTTGGGGAGAACACATGTTGCAAACTGAATCTACCCTGCCAAAACCAAAGCACAGTTTCCGAGTGATCCAGTAACTTTGGTGCTTGTTCATGCTGACAGCGAGGATTATTCAGATTATGTGGCTTTGTGTTACTGTTAGGGGAAGCACACTGATTGAAACCGCCCACCCTGGCCAGGCACCATAGTAACCATTTGCATGAGTTGTTTTATGGCAGGAGATCCTGATAAGGAATACAACTAATAAGCCACCACCAGCCGGAAGAGTTCGGGAAAGGTCAGGAGGAGACACTACCTGTCCGTCCACTTCCCAGAATCCCTTTCGCTAGCATCCATCTTGGCTGAGTGATGCATGCGCCACCAGGAAAGACTCTGAATTAAAATGATTGGCCAAAGACCACCCGGAAACTAATCCCGTCACCCTAAAACCCAAGACTGCGAGCCACGCGGCAGAGCAGTTCTCCTGGGTTCCCTTACCCTCCTGCTCTCCACCTGGGTGCCCTTTCCCAATAAAATCTCTTGCTTTGTCAGCACATGTGTCTCCTCGGACAATTCTTTTCCGAGTGTTAGACAAGAGCCCAACCTTGGGCCCTGGAAGGGGGTCCCCCTTCCTACAACATTACTGTTTTTGCTACACTGTTGTTGCAGTTACATTTTGGACTGATTAGCTAGATCAATATTGGTATGGCTTAAAATTCATCAGGTTTCAGAGTTCTTTATTATGTTAAAGAAGGAAATTAACACCTGCCCGTAATGTGGCTCTGCTATTTAATATCATTGGTGCCTCTTTGTCTTCTGCCACCTTGGACCCTTGCT